GGTTTCTGTGCGATTCAGGTCATGTGCAGTCGTGAAATGTCTGGGCAGGGAGAAAGCAATCTACAAGTGTTCAATGAATCGGCGTTCTAAAGATGGTGTGCATGAGATTGTTGGCAGGGTTAGAATGAAGCATATGAATTTTTTTCAATGTGAATAAAAAGAAAATCATTTCATGACTGTACAAAAATCATCCTTCTTCAGAATGAATGTAGATTAAATGAAAGACTTAGATCAATAAAACATGATTACGATACTTAGTTTAGTGTTGGCCAGTAAGAATTCGATGAACAATTGAAGAGTAATCACAGGTCATGATGTCTGAAATGAATAATTTTACGAAAAGTGGTTGTGAAAATGAGAGATCTGCCGGACAATATAAATATATTTGTTTTGTAACTGTTGAATGTGAAAACTGACGCAGATGCCCTTCTTGTACAATATGTCATTTAGTCCTGAAGATATTAATAGCTGTGATGTCATTTGATGCAGAAGCTCATATTGCTTTCACCTCTGATCTTTTCCCAAATGCATTATTTAAAAAGAAATAATTTGCATTTCAAAAGTTTTGTAATTACTTTGTAATATACTTTATGTACAATAATCAATAAATTTTCAGTAATAAAAGACATTTCACAAAATTGAACTTTTTGTTATTTAAAGACTAAATTATGTATTGTTTTTTTTTTAATTCTTCGTTGTTTCCTAGGTGTGCACAGGCATTTCAAAAATTCTTTCCTCTGTTCAGTCCTATTCCTGCCATTTTCTCACACGCTTTGTGCACTATAACCCTCTTGTGCTTCATGGTCTTCTTGTGCTTCATGGTCTTCTTGTGCTTCATGGCCTTCTTGTGCTTCATGGCCTTCTTGTGCTTCATGGCCTTCTTATGCTTCATGGTCTTCTTGTGCTTCATGGTCTTCTTGTGCTTCATGGTCTTCTTGTGCTTCATGGTCTTCTTGTGCTTCATGGTCTTCTTGTGCTTCATGGTCTTCTTGTGCTTCATGGTCTTCTTGTGCTTCATGGTCTTCTTGAGCTCCTTTGCCTTCTTGTGCACTATAAACTTCTTGTGCACCATAACCTGCTTGTGCTCCATGGCCTTCTTGTGCACCAAGGCCTCATTCTTCATGGCCGTCTTGTGCTCCTTGGCCTTTGTGTGCACTATAACCTTGTGCACCATAACCATCTTGTGCTTCAAGGCCGTTTTGTGCTTCATGGACTTCTTGTGCTATATAACCTGCTTGTGCACCATAACCTTCCTTTACTTCATTCCTTCTTTTGCTCATTGTCCTTCTTTTGCTCCATGGCCTACTTGAGCTCCATTATTGCATCAGGGCCTTCTTGTGCTTCATGGCCTTTTTGAGCTTCATGGCTTTCTAGTGCTCCATGGCCTTTCTTGTGCTTCATGGCTTTCTTGTGCTTCGTGGCCTTCACGATGAAGATATCACAAAGAAATATTCATTGTTGACGCCGGAATTTCTTGAGTGGTTTACAGTGCTCTGTTCCTTGACATATCTCCATTCGTCCTGCGTGCTGAAGAGGGCTCTACGCCGAAACGTCCTTATCTTTTTGTCCTGTTCTCTAATTCAAGCTTCCACATACCTCGTTTTGCTATTTCATTTACTAGGCTTGAATGCAGTCCTTTAACTATTATATTGGAATATATCTAACAGGTTGTAAATTTAATTAAACACTTGTAGAGCGCAGCTCAGTATATCGGTAAGTTATAAGAGATAAAAAATAAATACACAACCCTCCGCTACAAGGAACTTCGCTGACTGCTGACGAATATGGACGTACGCAAAAAATAAATAAATAATAAATAAATTAGGCAGCGCCATAATTACAATTATAGCTTATAATAAATATCCACTGTTGATCACATGATTTCCAAGGCAGTCCGCTAATTTTGAAACAACTTATTATACTGATCTACTGTTGGGCATATGATATCCCAGGCAGTCCACTAAATTTGAAACAACTTATACTGATCTACTGTTGGGCATATGATATCCCAGGCAGTCCACTAACTTTGAAACAACTTATTATACTGATCTACTGTTGGGTATATGATATCCCAGGCAGTCAAATAACTTTGAAACAATTTATTTTAATGTTCTACTGTTGGTCATGTAATATGCCACAAACCGTAACAGCGGTTGTAACAAAAACCACATTTGCAGATGGGTGCAGCTTTATAAGAGAAGGATGTGCCACGTGGCTTGAAAAGAATAAAGATCTAATTGCAGGCATGGACAATAGTGGATATCTTCATGTCAGTTTGAAACATCCCGTGAACTGTTCCAGTCATATCTTTATGTCAGTTTGGAACATCCCGTGAACTGTTCCAGTCATTTCTTCATTTTAGCTTGGAACATCCCGTGAACTAATTCAGTCATATCTTTATGTCAGTTTGGAACTTCACGTGAACTGTTCCAGTAATATCTTCATTTTAGCTTGGAACATCCCGTGAACTAATCCAGTCATATCTTCATGTCAGTTTGTAAAATCCAGTGAACTGTTCCAGCCATATCTTCATGTCACTTTGGAACATCCGTGAACTGTTCCAATCATATCGTCATGCCAGTTTGAAACATCCCGTGAACTTTTCCAGTCATATCTTCATGTTAGTTTGGAACATCCCGTGAACTGTTCCAGTCATATCTTCATGTCAGTTTGGAACATCAAGTGAACTGCTCCAGTCATATTTTCATGCCACTTTGGAACATCCCGTGAATTGCTCCAGTTATATCGTCATGTCAGTTTGAAACATCCCGTGAGCTGTTCCAGTCATATCTTCATTTCACTTTGGAACATCCCGTGAAGCTGTTCCAGTCAAATCGTTATAACAGTTTGGAACATCCCGTGAACTGTTCCAGTCATATCTTTCTGTCAGTTTGGAACATCCCGTGAATTGTTCCAGCCATATCTTCATGTCACTTTGGAACATCCCGTGAACTGTTCCAGTCATATCTTTATGTCACTTTGGAACATCCGTGAACTGTTCCAGTAATATCGTCATGCCAGTTTGAAACATCCCGTGAACTGTTCCAGTCATATCTTCATTTCTCTTTGGAACATCCCCTGACCTGCTCCAGTCATATCTTCATTTCACTTTGGAACATCCCGTAAACTGTTCCAATCATATCTTCATGTCACTTTGGAACATTCCATGACATGCTCCAGTCATATCTTCGTGTCACTTTGGAACATTCCGTGAACTGTTCCAGTCATATCTTCATGTCAGTTTGGAACATCACGTGAACTGTTCCAGTCATATCTTCAAGTCAGTTTGGAACATCCCGTGAACTGGTCAAGTCATATCTTCATGTCAATTTGGAACATCCCGTGGACTGTTCCAGTCATATCTTCAAGTCAGTTTGGAACATCCCGTGAACTGGTCAAGTCATATCTTCATGTCAATTTGGAACATCCCGTGGACTGTTCCAGTCATATCTTCATGTCACTTTGGACATTCCGTGACCTGCTCCAGTCACATCTTCATGTCACTTTGGAACATCCCATGAACTGTTCCAGTCATATCTTCATGTCACTTTGGAACATCCCATGAACTGTTCCAGTCATATCTTCATGTCACTTTGGAACATCCCATGAACTGTTCCAGTCACATCTTCATGTCACTTTGGAACATCCCATGAACTGTTCCAGTCACATCTTCATGTCACTTTGGAACATCCCATGAACTGTTCCAGTCATATCTTCATGTCACTTTGGAACATCCCATGAACTGTTCCAGTCACATCTTCATGTCACTTTGGAACATCCCATGAACTGTTCCAGTCATGTCTTCATGTCACTTTGGAACATCCCATGAACTGTTCCAGTCATGTCTTCATGTCACTTTGGAACATCCCATGAACTGTTCCAGTCATATAGTGTTTGTTCACTAAAACTTCCTAGACTAAATTTAATAAACAATACTCGTACGTTTTCACGCCAAAATTCAAAATTCGATCAGAAATAATATACGCAACATGAAATGCAATTTTTAAGCGCTGGCCCACTATTTCATGCTCAACCAAAAAGCTGCGCAGCTTTATTTAAACTTAAAACATTGTCAAAAAATGCGCACCGTTCATTACGCGGTTTTAGAAATGACAAGTTGCCATTTGTAGATATTTAAATATGTTTTCAAAAATTATCCAATTAAATAAAGAAGGAAACTGAATATTAATGCCCTTTGACTTAATAAATTGTTAAACCTATTTTATACCAAAAAAACCCAAAAAAAACCAAATTGAATACACAATTAACTATCTAAATATAATACCAAACAGATTGAGGGCATATACGTATTTTGGAATGTATCGATTCAGGCTATTCACACTGTTTTAAATACAAGAATACATTATCTTATCGAATAATCTGGCAGAATCTACCCTTGAGGTTCGACCAAGTGAAACCGTATTTAAAAAAAAAAAAAAAAACTCATTAAAGTTTCAACGTGGTTAAAGTTGTTTTCAAACGTTTATTGTTCTTTCTAAAAGGCCTGGCAAGTAAGTCAGGGGCGTAAAAAAACCCCCCAATTTTTTTTTTTTTTTATTTTCTAAAAATATCCCCCCCCCCCCCCCCCCCTCACCCACCTTTCTTTTTTTGCGTGCAGTGCCCCGAGTGATTTAGACGCTTGTCTAGTCTCTTCACGTCCCTGAGGTAAGTACAGTCTCCTACCCCGTATCTACTTTTTAACCGTATTTTAAAACGAAATAGTTAATGATGATATCAAGATTTGATGGATTTGTTGCAGGAAAAAAAAGGGTGTAATCTAGGATTGCTTTACAATTCCTGACCAAAATTCTATAAGTGAAAGAGATAATTAAATCAGACATTATACACATTCTATAGAATGCCTGACCCGACTTAGTCAAAGTCAAAGTCTATAATAACATGAAATAAATTGCAGAATTTCTTTCAAATTTAAAGGAAAAAAAAACATCAGAATTAGCAAAAACAAATTTGCGCCATTTTTTTATACACAAAAACTAAATCTTCCACTTGGAAACTTTAACAAGCGCATTTATCAAATCCTTGCCCAGGTACAGTAGGTTGATGACGTGTCCTGGTCCAGTAGATTGTTGATTTACTCAGTTCCAGTAGATTGTTAACTTGCCCACATCCAATAGATTGTTGACTTGGCCAGGTCCAAAAGATTGTTGACTTGGCCAGGTCCAAAAGATTGTTGATTTGCCAAGGTCCAAAAGATTGTTGACTTGCCCAGGTCCAGAAGATTGTTGACTTGCCGATATCAAGTAGATTGCTGACTTATCCAGGTCCAGTATATTGTTAACTTTCCCACGCCTAATAGATTGTTGTCTTCCTTAGGTCCATTAAACTGTTGACTTGCCCAGGTCCTGTAGATTGTTGACTTGCCCAGGTCCAGTATATTGTTAACTTGCCCACGCCTAATAGATTGTTGTCTTCCTTAGGTCCATTAAACTGTTGACTTGCCCAGGTCCTGTAAATTGTTGACTTTCCCAGGTCCTGTAGATTGTTGACTTGCCCAGGTCCAGTAGATTGTTGACTTGCCCAGGTCCTGTAGATTGTTGACTTGCCCAGGTCAAGTAGATTGTTGACTTGCCCAGGTCCTGTAGATTGTTGACTTGCCCAGGTCCAGTAGATTGTTTACTTGCCCAGGTCAAGTAGATTGTTGACTCGCCCAAGTCCTGTAAATTGTTGACTTGCCCAGGTCCTGTAGATTGTTGTCTTGCCCAGGTCCAGTAGATTGTTGACTTGCCCAGGTCCAGTAGATTGTTGACTTGCCTAGGTCCATTTGATTGTTGACTTGCTCAGGTCCTGTAGATTGTTGACTTGCCCAGGTCCAGTACATTGTTATTTTTCCCCCATCCCGTAGATTTTTGTCTTGCCAAGGTCCAGTAGATGTTGAGCTAGAAATTAAGTTCAAGCCAAGTGCACAACCAATTTACATGAAACCTAGAAATGTACCATTTGCAGTAAAGGCAGAACTAGCAGAGGCTTATGAAGCTGGAATATCCTAAGGATTATGGCTACCAGTACAGTTCAATCAATGGGGCACTCCTGTAGTTCCAGTAAAAAAGAAGTCTATCTCAGGAAAAAAGTCACAAATTAGGGTCTGTGGGGACTATGCAAAAACTGTATATCAACAGAAAAATCTAGGTACCCAATGCCATTACCAGAAGACCTCATGAGGAAGTTATTATAGCAGGTAGACATTATTTCTCAAAAATAGATCTAGCTGATGCTTATATCAGATCAAGAATCACAAGAGAAATTGGCATTAAGCACACATAAAGGTGTATTGCTGCAAACACGGTTACCATTTGGTATTACCTCAGCACCGGCATATTTCCAAGAAATCATGGACAAACTTACACAAGATTTGCCTGGAGTAGCAGTATACATGGACGACATTCTAGTGAGTGGAAAGGATGAGGAAGACCTTGTAATCAACCTTCGCAGGTTATTACACAGACTGAATGAAAATGGATTAAAGTGCAGGAAAGAAAAATGCATTTTTGCCCAAGAATCAATTGAATATTTAGGGCATAAATTATCAAGCAATGGCATATCAAAAGGAGCCAAAGTAGATGCAGTTATATCCATGCCAGCACCCACAGATATTTCCATTCTAAGGTTATTTCTTGGTCAAGTGCAGTTTTACAACAAGTTCTTACCAGACCTATCAACTGTACTTGAGCCATTGTATTATTTAACCAAAAAGAACGTATCATGGAAATGGAATACAGAACAAGAAGAAGCTTTTAGGAAAGTCAAGCAATTGCTTTCTTCTGATACATTTCTTGCTCGCTATGATCCAACTCTAGACATAGGCATATCCTGTGACGCCTCTAAAGTTGGAAAAGGAAGTGTTCTGTTCCACAGATATCCTGATGGCAGTGAACGCCCTATTTGCTAACATTTCAAAAACTCTCACAGCAACACAACGCAAATATAGTCAGATTCAGAAGAAAGCACTCTCAATTATTTTTGCACTATCAAAATTCCATCAATATCTGTATGGAAGAAAGTTTGTTTTAGTCACGGACCATAAACCACTGATAAGTATTTTTGGTTCAGGAAAAGGAACACCAGCACTGGCAGCAAATCGTTTACCCAGATGGGCTCTTACCTTGAGTCAATATGACTTTATCATTGAATTCCGTAAGTCAACTGAAGATTGCAATGCGGATGCTCTTAGTCGTCTACTCTCAGGGCCTGATGACATTTTTGATGGTGAAGAAAGTGAAGCAGACATGGATTCTGTTTGTATGATCAAACAAATCAGTTCACAGATCAGACCAACAGACCCAGGAGTCGCTGAAAGATTTTACTGTGTCTACAGTTATGAGATATTGTCAAGAGGGTTGGCCGTCCTCTACAAACAAAGCGCACTTGAACAAGGAGGCAGCTAATATAGCAGCTTTTAAAAATATTCAAGACTCACTCGCCGTGGAGTTGAATTGTCTATTTTATGGTTCAAGAATTGGGGTACCAAAAATACTACAAGCTCAAGTTCTCCAAATCCTGCATACAGGACATTTTGGAATCGAGCGGATGAAACAGTTAGCAAGATTATCCGTATATTGGCCCGGACTTGATGCTCAAATCATGGAGATAGGTCAAAAATGCCAAAGCATGCGCAGAACACGCCAGAGACCCAAACAAAGCAAGTATCCATCCATGGATGTTGCCAGAAAAACCATGGAGTCGAGTGCATGTCGACCATGCAATTAACTTTAAGGGATCACATTGGCTGGTGGTGATTAGGATATCATCTACATCGACCAAAACCACCATTGATCTTCTGGAGGAAGATTTTGCTCATTTCGGCTATCCACACACCATAGTTAGTGACAATGCTACTAGCTTCATCTCAGAAGAATTTCAGCATTGGTGTAAAGAGAGGGGTCTTATATAAATATTGCAGGCACTCCCTACTATCCTGCTACGAATGGAGCTGCCGAACGACTGATTTAAAGTTTCAAGAGTTCAATAAAGAAATCCTCTTTACCTCTAAAGGAATCTCTACAAGACTTTCTGCGTCAATATCGCAGGACACCATTGGCCAGTGGATTATCCCCTAGCCAACTGCTGAACAATCGGCAAATAAGAACACTTATTGATACTCTAGTTCCCTCTCCTGCTTATCGAGCACAGGGACAACATCTTAAAGAAATAGCCACCTGCAATGGGACAAACAGAAGTCCTAGTCGATCCTTTAACCCGGGGAGATCCATGTTACGTCGGAGTATATGGAACAGCAACAGACTCTAAACCACGATGGGCTCCCGGTACAATCATCCAAGTGATGGGTCCACGTCTTTTCAAGGTGAAGATTTATCCAAATGGTCCCATTTGGAAGAGACATTTATACCAACTTCGCCCAAGGTACCGAGCAGAAGAAGATTCAGAACCAAGTTTGGATATAATGACAGGAATAAATCTTTATCCAACAGCTCAGGCAGCCCTGAGTCATCAACCGTCTACATATCCAGCAACTCCAAGTCCACCTAAGAAGAAGATTAACCCTCGACATCCAGGACCTCGAGCTACATGGTTACTGGACTTGTAATTGTTCGGGGAGGTGTTATTGTGGACTAGCGGACTGGACCGTACCGATAGCCACTGTAGTGAGAGTGTGTGTTTATGGACCGTGTTCCGGACGCAAGCAGATAGTCAACACCTGATTGAGAACTTGTATTTATGTACATATATGTTTATGTTTTTTGTTTGAAATACAAACATTAAAAACGTAACAGTCCAGTAGATTGTTGACTTGCCCAGGTTCAGTAGATTGTTGACTTGCCCAGGTCCAGTAGATTGTTGACTTGCCCAGGTCCAGTAGATTTTTGACTTGCCCAGGTTCAGTAGATTGTTGACTTGCCCAGGTTCAGTAGATTGTTGACTTGCCCAGGTCCAGTAGATTGTTGACTTGCCCAGGTCCAGTAGATTGTTGACTTGCCCAGGTTCAGTAGATTGTTGACTTGCCCAGGTCCAGTAGATTGTTGACTTGCCCAGCAGTAGATTGTTGACTTGCCCAGGTCCAGTAGATTGTTGACTTGCCCAGGTCCAGTAGATTGTTGACTTGCCCAGGTTCAGTAGATTGTTGACTTGCCCAGGTCCAGTAGATTGTTGACTTGCCCAGGTCCAGTAGATTGTTGACTTGCCCAGGTCCAGTAGATTGTTGACTTGCCCAGGTTCAGTAGATTGTTGACTTGCCCAGGTCCAGTAGATTGTTGACTTGCCCAGGTCCAGTAGATTGTTGACTTGCCCAGGTCCAGTAGATTGTTGACTTGCCCAGGTTCAGTAGATTGTTGACTTGCCCAGGTTCAGTAGATTGTTGACTTGCCCAGTTTCAGTAGATTGTTGACTTATTCAGGTCAAATAGATTGTTGACTCGCTTCGATCCAGTAGATTGTTGTCTTACCAAGGTCCAGTAGATTATTGACTTTCCCCGGTCCAATAAATTGTTGATTGTCCAGTAGATTGTTGTCCAGTATATTTTGACTTGCCCAGATCCAGTAGATTGTTGACTTGTCCCGGTCCAATAGATTGTGGTCTTCCCTAAGCCCAGAAGATTGTTGTCTTCCCTATGTCCAGTAGATTGTTGACTTCCCCGGTCCAATAGATTGTTCTCTTCCCTATGTCCAGTAGATTGTCGACTTGCCCAGGTCCAGTAGATTGTTGACTTGCCCAGTTTTTTAACCGGTTGGGGGCAAAACAAAACTTAGTCGGCTTGTTAAGGTGTTTATTACCAGAGGCGCATTAGTGCACGGCAATTTAAATAAAGCTACAAATTCAGGTGCCCCACACTGCCCTTCCCAAAATGACGTCCCTGCTCAATAGATTATATTTTATTTCACCATTTTAATTCTTTTGTATTTTTATAAATATTTCTAGCATATAAAACACGGTCTATCATAACTGAAAGGGAGATTATTTTTATTGATTAAAATAATAATTAAGTAAAAAAAAGAATCACCAGTCATACAAATAAAGTGTAAAAAAATGTTATTGAAATTTTTTATAAAAATCGAAATTATATGATTTACTTGTGCAATAAATATTTATACAAATATATTTATCAAGTTATTTTTTTTATTTTATTTGCTCTCTAATTCAAATATGTCGCAGTTAAGACCTGTTGATCCAATCTGTTCGCTGTGGAAATGCAGAGATTTCCTGGCCTGTTTATTAGTATTGCTTTGATCTCTTTCATCGCAAAACCTGGTAAGATTGACTGAATTTAAATCTGATAAAAACTGAGAGTGTTAATGTTGCTAAATTTTGTTTGACCTGTTATACCAGCAAGTCTTTTGTCTACAATGTTGTACAAGATTGCCTATGAAATGATTATTGAGTATTTCCCTCAATAACAGCGCGCCTGTAGGTTGTGCTCACCTTAGGGCACAAAACCTGTATTGTCTTTCTATACAAGTTTGGGAACTTAAGTCATGACGTCACTTCCATTGATCGCTTCTCGAGGCAACACGGAGTTGTTGTTTTTCTTCAACTGTAACTTTTAGATGTTTAACTGCGGCAATGAATGAATGGATGATTTCCCTTGAACAAACCTGCATCCATTGGAGCATCTAATGAACAAAATATTCAATTAACCTTCCCGGCGGTGAAAATTCTATGAAGACTGTTGTTTTAATTTGATAATCAAGTTACCATATGATATCTTAGAGACAAAATAAATCTGATGAGTTGTCACTTGTCTTTCTATAAATTTCCAAAAGTAAATGAACTTCTGGGGCAAGCTTACTCATTGAAGTTGGGGGGGGTACTTCAGAGTTCGGGGTGGGGGGGCAGTGCCAGTTGGCTTATTGGTGGAAATATTTTTGCTAATTATATCTTCAACGATCTTACCGCATTGTGCCCCCCCACCCCTTTGCGGGACATAGCTGATAGAAACCCTGTTTGGGAGAAATGAAAACTATATCAGAATTAAAATTAAATTTCATTTTTATTTATTTTATTTTTTTTTACAGAATGTACCACAGCATCGGAGCATGTCTCTAACAGAGCTTTCTTGGACCCCATCGATTACACCCTCGTGCAGAAGAGTTGTAGTGACGGAGTCGTCCATCTCGTTGACCATTACATTGTCACTGGTTTCATCAACGTCACCGGGTACACCCTTCCGAACTTGGCTGCCGCCTTCATGCTAGTTTATTACACCACTACAACACGAGGCGTGCCTCTCTGGTGGGGGGTAAGGAACGTTGGGATTTTAAAAAAAAAAAAAAAAAAAATTTTTTTTATCTCTCTCGCTGTACTAAGTGACGCTCAATTCTCGTGTCCTTATCAACAATCCCCGATGAGGTCATTTAATTGACCATTACCTTGTCACTGGTTTCCGCAACGTCAACGGGTACACCCTTCCGAACTTGGCTGCCGCCTTCATGCTAGTTTATTACACCACTACAACACGAGGCGTGCCTCTCTGGTGGGGGGTAAGGAACGTTGGGATTTTAAAAAAAAAAAAAAAAAATTTTTTTTATCTCTCTCGCTGTACTAAGTGACGCTCAATTCTCGTGTCCTTATCAACAATCCCCGATGAGGTCATTTAAATTATAGAATTTCATTGACATTGAAGAAATAAACGCCGTGGCTGGGGTTGTGTTTGATTTCTGTCTCCAGTTGTGCCTGGTGGTCATTTTATTTTGGACAGGGCGCGATGAGCCTGGCGATGGCTGTCTTTCTATGCCATATATATAAAAATCACAACTCGAAACAATGGAGCGTGCAAGGCGGCAGTTAATATTGAATACTGGGGTTAAGATGGGGGGTGGGGGGGTGTGGGGCGGGCTCCGGGTGGGTGTCGGAGCGGGGTCCGGGTGGGTCAGTATGGGATCGGGGGTGGACGGCGGGTGGGGTCCGGGGCAGCGTCCGGGTAGGGATCGGAGCGGGGTCCAGGTGGGGTCCGGGTGAGGGTTGGGGTGGGGTCAGGGTGAGGGTGAGTGTCGGGATCCGTTTGGGTCGGAGCGGGGTCGGGTGGGGTACGGTTGGGGGTTAGGGGGTGGGAACCGAGTGGGGGACGGGCTGGGGGTCCGGTTGGGGATGGCGCCTGGGTCCTCCAAAGTTTAAAGTGCACCCACGTGCCGTAAAATGTTTAAGTTTTGGCTCTGCTATGCACATCTCGTAAATTGACCCTGTCTTATAAAGCATGCATTCCCTTAGATTCAATCGACCAAATTTGATCTGCGGAAGGAGCATTGCACTGATCTTCAACAAGTTCCATTTGCAAAATGCGGCTGCCAACTAGAATCGAACGATATCATGCGTGTCAAGTGTAAAGTACCGGTCAATTTATCCCATTGGACGAAACCGTTGCGACTCTTCTTTGTCACCTATCAATATTCTGCAACTCTCCCTAAGTCCAACAACAAGGTCTACCGTAAGTTAACACCTTTCACTTTTGTTTGTACACGTTTTTAGGCGCATATATTTATTTCGCTCGTTCGTTAAAAACATTTGGTCTACATAAATGACAGCGGTGTACCAAGCGTCTATCGGGCATGTCTGTTCAGCACGCTAATGTATGGCAATGAAGCAGTGGTTCTCAACCTTCCTAAAGCCGCGACCCTTTAAGACAGTTTCTCATGTCGCGGCTACCCCCCAGCCACACAATTATTTCCGTCGCTACTTCGTAGCTGTAAATGTGTTTTCAGATGGTCTCAGGCGACCCCCTGGGAAAAAGGTCGTGCGACCCCCAAAAATTGTTTCCGCGACCTACAGGTTGAGAACCACTGCAGTAAAGTCACGAGCGGAAACTCAACACCTCGTGTCTCAGATTTATGTGGCACATTTTGCGAATTCGATTGCGGGGACTAATCCGTGGTCCTGTAACGTGCTAAACTATCCAGCATGTTCTATACTCCAAGTGAGTGGCGATTTTACTGCTATAGGCGTTGTGAAGAGAATGGGCGCAGGCCGTGTTCCGAAGGACATGCTGTGTGTGCGGAGAATTTCCCGAGGATTCAAGACATTTTGATCGAGCGCAGTGGTGCTATAAAGACAGATTTAAAAAAAGACATGTAGGAAGTCAAGCTTGAGATAGGCGAGGGTGAGGTTGTGGTCTATCCCCGTTCAGCGGGCGAACCCTAGGCCAAAGTAGAACAAGTCAAGGTTTATTTATTTATTTAGGCATTTTTGTATAGCGATTACCTTACAGCTCTAAGCGCTTTACAATTATTAAAAATATGTAAACTATTTAAACTGCTAAAGTAATATAACAATTATAAACCCAGGCAGAGAGTGAATAGACGGAAATTACAAGATCGTCTTCATAAGAGCATGTAATGATTTCAAAAAGAGCTACTACATTGAAAACGAAAGAATGTCGTTAAGATAAAATACCCCGTTGCGCCCAAGCCATCCCAATTTGAAAGAATGTTAAATTATTGAAAGGCAAAAAAAAAATTTAGACGACATATATGTACATTATTTTTTCATATTTAGAATGATTGGAAGTCACTTCACATTTGAGGCTTATTTTCATTCGCGGTAAGATCGTTGAAGATATAATTAGCATCATCATCATCGTCAGTGGCACTACAGCCCGTGTAGGGCCCTGGCCTGCTCCGCCACATCCTTCCTTTCGGATCGATCCATGTCTTTCCGTACATCTATCCCTCGTGTTAAAGGGCATCATCTAAAACTTAAGACGGAATCCCAACTGCTAGTTGTGCGATATTTACGTTAGCGGCTGAAAGGCCGACACAATCTGCCAGTCCGTGACAGTTTATCAAAAAGTTCGGAGGTAAGCTTGAATCTAATTCACCTTTATCCGTCGACGAACTTAACAAAAGATATTTAAATCAGTGAGCAGAGCGATGGCCCGTCGAAGGTATAGGTGACGTTTTTGAGGCTAGAGTAGGTAGATGGATTAACATACTCCGCCACATCATGGGGATGCGATGGATAGGGTAATGGATTCTAGAGCCGAGTCTGTGGCGTTTCATGTTGCATAAAAAAAACAAGGTTGAATTCTAGCCTCCAATCTGATATTGTCAGCCATGCTTTCTGTGCTTTTATTGACGATAACGACGTCATTCCTATTAGAAATCCGGCATGTGGAGGAGGGCTATTTATTAAATATTCGGAAATTAAAAACAATTTTTAAAAAGTCAAATAAACGGTTATGAGAGACCAATAATAACTGCGCCCTAAATGTAATCCCAGAACTGAAAATTCACAAAAACCATTATCTATATACTATAGCTAAATCCTGTGACAACTATAATCTAAAAATCTCTTTAAAAAAAAACCCCAGATGTAATGCAACCACCTGCTCCTGAAACTCTTACAATAACGATAACGATTTTGTGGGACAGAAACTTCAAGAAGTGGCAAAATTACATATTACACTTTCACTGTTAGTAATACTGTATGATGATATAAACAACATAATCTCCAAGCCGCAGGTTGTGTTCGAACTATTTCAAAATAAATGTCTGGGAGGAAGTGTAATCTGAAAGTATACAACGGAATCGTTTTGCCAACACTCCTGTACGCCTTTGAGAAAATGACAGCATAATGACGATATGATGACCTAAGGGTCTTACAGACAGGACCGGTTCTTCAACGTTATCCATTCTAGAACATAAATTATGTCTTCCTTTATTTTTTAGCAAATGCTTCTTGTAAAACCGCAGCTTCAACAAACGGAGGTAACTACACTTATTTAAATAAATCACGCCAGGTCTTTATTAACTTAAGCCGTTTATTATTACTTCACTTTTCTTTTAAATGGAAAACATATTCAAAATACCCCCGCCCCCTCTATCCCGTTCAAATCTATTAGTGGGTTTCACCATTTCAGTGAGTAAATTATTGATTATTGACCCACAAGAGTTAAGAAGTCTCTTAAAACAGTTATTGATTTCCTAACAGGAACGAGCCCCCACGGCGGCAACAACGGAATGCCTGGTAGGTACTTTTTATCTTATGTTGGTAAGCCCAATGGAGGTAAGAGACTTTTACCAAGAGATATAAGAAAGGCCATTGCTTATTTGAAAAGTGGCTAAAACATACAAACGCATTGATGTTATTGGTTCGAAAATTGAAGCAGGTTTATTGATATATATTATTTAAAAAATAACATACAAACCACAGATTGTCCAGAGTGAGCTGGACGAGTCAAAGGTCATACAAATGTGGGGGCGGAGACATAGCCAACTAAGGGGAACGGCGTTCCTGTACATCTTTTGGTTGCTTTCTATAAACACATGTTTATTTTGGGAAGGAGAAACTTGGTGGCTCTATATAAATAAATATTTATTTTCGGAAGGGGGAACTTGGCTGCGCTTCCTTACTTCCTAAATTTTCTGCCAAGACGCGACCAACTGTTTGTTGTAAGATGTTGCCATGGCAACCAACCAGCTCATCCATTCGCTTTATAATTAAAATGCAAACAGATTGGTCGTTGATAATCAGGCAGTCGTCTATTGACCCTTTCTTTTTAATGTCGTAACAGGTCACATCTTTGTGGTGACGACTTTGGTCTGCACTGTTACATCAATGGTGTCCAACGGTCAATGAACCCGGTCCATGGTACAGCTGGATGCCAGGGGCAGTTGGTTTAAACAGAGCAATCTGTTCCTAACGCAAAGTTCATCGGGTTAAGCAATAAAACAACTTTAAAAATTTCACGCAAAATAGAATTAGAAAAACCACCACCTGGCATGCAGCATGTGAAGTATAACAAAATAGAATTAGAAAAACCACCACCTGGCATGCAGCATGTGAAGTATAACAAAATAGAATTAGAAAAACCACCATCAGGCAGCATGTGAAGTATAAAAAAATAGAATTAGAAAAACCACCATCTGGCAGGATGTGAAGTATAAAAAAATAGAATTAGAAAAACCACCATCTGGCAGGATGTGAAGTATAACAAAATAGAATTAGAAAAACCACCACCTGGCATGCAGCATGTGAAGTATAACAAAATAGAATTAGAAAAACCACCATCAGGCAGCATGTGAAGTATAAAAAAATAGAATTAGAAAAACCACCATCTGGCAGGATGTGAAATATAAAAAAATAGAATTAGAAAAACCACCATCTGGCAGGATGTGAAGTATAAAAAAATAGAATTAGAAAAACCACCATCTGGCAGGATGTGAAATATAACAAAATAGAATTAGAAAAACCACCATCTGGCAGGATGTGAAGTATAACAAAATATAATTAGAAAAACCACCATCTGGCAGGATGTGAAATATAACAAAATAGAATTAGAAAAACCACCATCTGGCAGGATGTGAAATATAACAAAATAGAATTAGAAAAACCACCATTTGGAAGCATGTGAAGTAAGACCAAAAAAAACATCGAACACTAACCCTGGTGGAAATTTAACACGATATTGAACAATATCAAAAGAAAGATCTTGATTACGAAAATAAACTTTAACAAACGTTTAGTATTCAATTGAATATTTAATTTATATTTTTTGTGATCACAGGTACCCAATGAAATACCTCTTATAAATAAATGATGGTACCAAATCTCATAAGGTTAATAAAAATATCTTTGCAAGATGTTTCGAACTTAAATTTAATATATTATGTTTTGTTTTGTTTTATTGATTTTTTAAAAAATCGTTACTTTTTAAATCGTTTTGTTCATTTATCCGTTTATTTACTTTATTGTTTGTTTGGTTGAGACGCGACGAGAGACTTCAGTTGGAACGTATTGAACACATTGAGAGCACCGGTTTATTATAGCCTCTTTCATTATTGTGCAGTTGTAAGCTATTTGTAATACGTTCCCCATTCATTTTTTTTCCACACATGTATAATCTTGATTGAAGCCATGCCAATCTATCTAGCACCTTACTGCACTATGTGGTCAGTTCTCTACCCATACTTTCACACATTTGTGGAGTCGCGATATAAGCCGTGTCGATCTGTATGGCACCCTACCTGCTAGCTGTGATCAGTTCTCAGAAGAGAGTGCCGCAAATAAGGAAGAAACAGCACTGGCTATGAATCAGCTCAAAATAGGGAACGCAGCCCGACCGGATAACATCACATCAGAGATGATGAGAGCTGATATATACATATATAACCCATACAGTCAACGAGAAATAGCCTTCTGGCATTGTTCCCTCTCTTTGTAAGGCAGGTGTTATCAAACCATTACTTGAGAAGATCTTGATGTAAAATAATTTAAACACTTTTAGACCCGTATCTAATTTAACCCTTTTATCTTAAGTCTTTGAAAAACTAGTTCTAAATCAGCTTTTTACCTACTTGAATGACGAATCTCTTCTCCGTCCTATTTAGTCGGCCTAATGACCTTTTCACAGCACAGAGACAGCTCTCTTGGGAGTCAGCAGTGACCTCTTGCTTGCATTGGATAGCGGTGATGCCTCCATCCTGGTCCTCTTAGATCTTAGTGCGGCCACTGTTGACCATCAAACCCTTTTCAAAACCCTTAAAAATTACTTGGAATTTTTGGTTCAGTTTTGTCTTGGTTTAGGTCATAGCGCCCAGGCGGTCGCTGTCTCTCCGGCAGTGCTGGCTTGCTGTACGGTGTGTTCAGGGATTCGTTTTGGGTCCAGTCCTATTCACAATGTATACTGGCCACTGCTCCTCCCGCTCGGGAGGCATGCTGTGGAGAGCCAGTCATTCGCCGATGATATGCAGCTATACAATCACACCCATTCCTCTCTCGTCGTCTCCGCTATCCACACCTTGCAGGAATGCATTGGTGATGTTAACAAGTTGAAACTGAACGATGACAAAACGGAAGCATTTCTCATTCACAATCATGAATCATCCTCTAACTCAACTATAACCAGCTCTTTTTAAGTAAGTAGCTCCGACATACTGTTTTAAATCCTTTGCAAGGAACCTTGGTTACACTCTTTTTGACAACATGTCTCTCAATAATCACATTTCTCACATCTTTCGCGGTGCGTACACTGTTATCCACCAGATGAGCTGCATCCGCCACTACCTCACACTACTCTGTGCTCTTGTTCCCTCTCGTCTTGACTCTTGCAACTCTCTTCTTTTTAGGCTCACTGAAACACTTTATAGAAGAAATGTCAACATTTTAAAACTCAGCCGCTGTGTTAGTTCTATAGGAAAAGAAACGTGATCATGGCATGTCACGCCACTATTCAACTCACTTTATTGGCTCCCCATTACAGGCAAGAAATCAAGCTGTCTGCTCTCTGTTATTACATATCCGACCATCCAAGCCTTCGAAACTGCCCCACAAGACATATCTCTTTAAACCCTACTCTTCCAAATCATTCTCACCCCCCCCCCCTCTGACTGATAAACAAGGCGCGATCCTGCTGGGCGCCATCTATGGCTAGGCATGGGCTAATAGTGTTTGATTGGGTGAGGTCAATCTTTTGAAAAAGCTGTTTTTAAATGAATAATTTTGCGTCACTGCTTATCAATGCCACGTTTTTCTTTTTTTTTTTTTTGGTAATTTGATGTGAAGCGCGGTGAGCCTGGCTTTAGGCTATTGTACCATGCTATAAAACACAAATCATTCTCACCCCCCCCCCCCTCTGACTGATAAACAAGGCGCGATCCTGCTGGGCGCCATCTATGGCTAGGCATGGGCTAATAGTGTTTGATTGGGTGAGGTCAATTTTTTGAAAAAGCTGTTTTTAAATGAATAATTTTGGGTCACTGCTTATCAATGCCACGTTTTTCTTTTTTTTTTTTTTGGTAATTTGATGTGAAGCGCGGTGAGCCTGGCTTTAGGCTATGGTACCATGCTATAAAACACCACTTTAAAAAAAAAAAATATCTCTACGGCACTGGACGATGCGGAGGCTTTCAAATACTTAGGCAGAACCATTGACAGAAAAGTTGGATCCGAAGATGATTCAAGGGCTAGCATTGGAAATGCTGAATCAGCATTTGTGCTATTAAAGAAAAGATGGAAACCAAAGACGCTGCCTCCGCCAACCAAAGCTGGACATAGCGACACACAGGTCAAAACGGGCTGTGGAGCCGAAACGTGGAGAACAGCGAGCATCACGCTGAAAGTTTAGACCTTCATAGCCACTTGCCTTTGAAAGATTCTAAACATCGAAGCGCTAAAACCCCACCAGCAACAAAAGACTTACTGGAAAGGACATACCAGGAGCTTGTTACCGAAGATGTCATAAGGAAAAGAAGAAGGTGGATGAGGCATGAACAGGGAGAGGAAGGGAAAGAATACATAGAAACGCGAGCAAGAGGCAGACACAAAAATTATCGGGTACACCTGGAAGCGACCTGGAAATTAAAGCACAGGAGCCGGACGAATGGAAAATTGGTATTGACGGCCTATGCCATAGACTGCGTAAAAGGCATAAGAGAGAGAGAGAGAGAGAGAGAGAGAGAGAGAGAGAGAGAGAGAGAGAAGGGAATAATAATAATTTTATACTTAGCATACGCTTCACAGTACACTTCTAGATGTGCAGACATTACATGTAATTACTGCGAAAAATATTAAAATTTACAATATATTATACAGTTACGTCATTTTAAATCATTTGTATCAATTTCACTTTTGTTTGTGGGTGGGTGGCAACATTTTCTGACGAGTATAAAAATTCGTTTGTTCCCCAATCTGTACGAATTTACCGGCGTGCTTCCTCTGAAGTCACACATCTGAATGAGAACTAATAAGTCCCCGATTTTGCTAAGAGAACTGACTGAATGGCTGTTTGAAATAATTTATTATAAATGTCTTGTGTTCAAATTGTTTTATTTTTGTGCTGAAAATGTATAATGCAATCAAAGAACATTTCCATTTGTTTGGATCAATAAAAGAATCTTATCTTATCTTGTCTTATCTTATTTTATCTTAAGCCTGCTATTTAACTTTCAAATACAAACTGCACACCTTTATATTGTCTTAAATCAATGTAGACACTGCGAACTGTTCATTACGCGTTTTTTTTAAAAGTGACAGGTTGCCGTTTGTAAATTGAACACATTTTTATAGAAATGATTTTAACATGATAAGAAAGAGAACTGAATATCCATTTCCTTAGAATTAACAATGTTAAATCTTTTATACAAGGTAACAAATTGAATACACAATGTACCCTCTACATACGACACCTTAACAGATTAAGAGCATTTAAGTATGTTGAGTTTTTGGCTTCAAGCGAGTCGCACTATTTTAAATTCAAAAAATACTTTTTCGAAAAATCTGTCAGAATCAACCGGATGTTAGCAGCAATTAATGGTTACCTAGAGCAACAGAAACAAAAAAAAAATATTTAAAAAAACTGATTAAAATTTAAAAGTGGTTATATTGGCTTAAAAGTTTTACTGTATTTTCTAAACAGCTTTGTAAGTATGTCAGGGGCGTAGCAGATGATTATTTTGGCCTCTGGCAAATTTAGATTTTGAATTCCCTTAATTGAAACTTAATTGTATAAAAAAAAAATCCCTACTTTTAGGCCCCACGAGGCACAAGCGATAGGGCCCAGAGAGATTCACGCTGTTTGTCCTTCAGCGTCTAAACGGCCCTGACGTAACTCCAGTCTCCGAACCTGTCTCTAACTTTTTAAAGCAGTTTTCACTGCAATAGTAAATGGAGATATAAAATCAAATCTTGATGGATATGTTGTTGGCAAAGTGTGTCATCTAGGAATTCTTTAAAATGCCTGACGTTGCTTTTTTTTTTTTCACGTACAGTTACCAAATACTAGCCCAGGTCCAGTCGATATTCCCTAGGTCTTCCCTAGGTCCACGAAATTGTTTTCGCTACCCAGATCCAGTAGATTGTTGATTAGCCCATGTACAGTAGATTGTTGACTTTCAGCTGATCTGAGTAGGACTGGTTTGTTCAGCGTGAATTCGCTAATAAAATTGTCTCTAGAACGACTTCCATGAGATTGTTGAGTCAGTGTAGGGATCTACTACTGCTCTAGACATCCTATAGCATGACGATTCTAGTGAAAGTGTGAAATACTTGAGATATTCTACACTTTGCCTGGGCATGCTATTACACGTCTGAATTTCACACTTTTCCTGTCGGTCTTAACGGACAAAAAAAAGTTTCACTATGAATATATGCGGTAAGCAGGACTTTTAAGCAAATCTTTTTTTTTAAGTAACAAAATATATAAAATAAAGAACCGTTCGACGCCCAGACAATGTTCCCCTTAAGCTGCGTGACCGCGCAGCAATCTCACAGACGCCGCGCAGCAGTTTTGAGTACCGCGCAGCTAATTTCCACTCAAGTGTGTGTTTGTGCACGTAGGCGGTAAAATTTGGCGCACAAAAAAAAAATTGATGCTGTAAAAATGTGCACACAACTTTATGATTTTGCACACGAACCAACAAACCTTCGAGGGAACATTGCGCCCAGACGTATATCGCCAAACCTCATCACACGTAAATGTATTTACTCAATGGATGCTCTTTGATGTCGTCGGTTTAAACTACATAAATTACTTCTAAATATTTCTAGCACACAAAACGCTTTCTGGCATATTTGAAACGTTTATTAATTTTAGTTAATTTAAAAATAGAAATTGCGTTCATAAAAAATATAATTATCTACGAAAAATTCCTATTTAAATTTTTGCTACAATCCAAATCATAGGATACATTTATGCAATATGTATATTTATACATATATTTATCATATTATTATTTTGTTTCAAATTCAAATATCTGGCAGCTGAGACCTGTCGATCCAATTGGTCCGCTGTTGAAATGCAGATACTACCTGGCCTGCTTTCGGGGATCGCTCTGATATTTCTCCTCGAACAATCTGGTAAGACTGTTTGACTTGAAATCTATCAAAAATTAGATTTTGAAATTATAAATAATAATAATAATAAAGTTCATTTCAAAAACACGCTTCATCCCCAAAGGCTCGAAGCGCGGTACAGAGTCAACAAAAAACAAATCTATAATTTACCACATTTAAAACAAACGCAACACTACAAAAACTAATTACTAAATGCACCGTGACAGAGCAAAAATCTTGTTTGATTTCTCATAGCAGCAAGTGTTTTGTCCACAAAGCTGTATAAGGTCTCCTTTGAAATGATAAGACTTAACACCTAATCGAGTATTTCCCTCCATGACGGCGCGCCTGTTAAGCTGTGCTCACCTTAGGGCACAGAACCTGTATACTCTTTCTGTAAGAGATTGTGGACGTACGTCGTGACGTCATTTCCTTCTATCGATTTCTGAGGCGATTCGGAGTTTCCCCTTAACGTGCAACATTTTGATGTACACCAGCAAAAATGAATTGAGGGACAAATTTCCCTTGAACAAACGTGCATCCAGTGGATCATCTAATTAACAGTCCCGCATCCAGTGGATCATCTAATTAACAATCCCGCATCCAGTGGATCATCTAATTAACAGTCCCGCATCCAGTGGATCGACTAATTAACAGTCCCGCATCCAGTGGATCGACTAATTAACAATCCCGCATCCAGTGGATCATCTAATTAACAATCCCGCATCCAGTGGATCATCTAATTAACAATCCCGCATCCAGTGGATCATCTAATTAACAATGCCGCATCCAGTGGATCATCTAATTAACAATCCCCCATTTAGTAGACCATCCTATATACAAAATATTCTATTAACCTTCCAGATCGGTAATTCTATATTCATTATGTTGTTTAATTTAATAATTAATTTACTATTTGGACAGTCCAGAGAACCAAAAAAAAAAATGTGCTTGTTGCCTAGAATTGGGCAAGCTTCCTTATTGATGATTCTATGTCTTCTCATTATGCAGCAAGAGCAACGAAAAAACGATCAGAAACAAAACAAACTATTAACATTATGTCTTCTTACAGCATTCGCCAATGCAGCGGACAATGAAGCGAACAGAGCTTTCCTGGACCCTATCGATTACAGCCTGGGAAAAAAAAGTTGTAGTGACGGCTTCGTCTATTTCTATGACCACTATGTTGTCACTGGTTTCATCAACGTCACCGGGTACACCCCTCCGAAAATCAATGCTTATTTCTTCATAGAATACCTGATAAGTGAAAGTCCAGGCCCTTTCTGGTGGTCGGTAAGAAATGTTCACTTTTTTTGTGTGGCCATTTCTCTGTCCCAAATTACGCTAAATTCTTAACTCCTTATCAATATTCGTCCAATAGGGTCATTAGTTGAACGTGTAGAAGTCCATTTAGATTTGAAGCTCATAAACTCTGAGTTTGGTGTTAAGTTTTACTTCAGTCCCGTGCCGTTTCTCTGTCCCAAATTACGTTTAACTTTCGGTACCTTATCAATATTCTCCAATAGGGTCATTCATTTAACGTGTAGAAATCCATTTAGATGTGAAGCACTTAAACACCGTGGTTGGTGTTAAGTTTTACTTCCGCCCACTGGTGTGTCTGGTGGAGATGTTATTTTGGATAAGGCACAACGAGCGGGGCACTAGCTCTCTTCCATGTCAGAAGACAGCAAAGTGCGTAAGACGGCAAGACATGTAAGACGGCAAAGCGTGTAAGACCGCAAAGCGTGTAAGACGGATAAGCGTATAAGATTGCAAAGGGTGTATGATTGCAAAGGGTGTAAGATTTCAAAGGGTGTAAGATTGCAAAGGGTGTAAGATTGCAAAGGGTGTAAGATTGCAAAGGGTGTAAGATTTCAAAGGGTGTAAGATTGCAAAAGGTTAAAGACGAAAAGCGTGTAAGACGGCAAATCGTGTAAGACGACAAAGCGTGAAAGACGGCAAAGCGTGTAAGATGGCAAAGCATGTAATATGGCAAAGCGTGTAAGATGACAACGCGTTAAAGACGGCAAAGCGTGTAAGAACAGCAGCTGATGCTGAACAGACAAAGCAGTGAGTTCGAGTCACAAAAGAGTCTCGTGTTTATTCAGAAATCTTCTCTCGTGCCATCTTCATTTATCAACGGATTCAGTGCAAACTCCAAAATTTGGGTCTTCCAAAGCATATAATTTGAATTTAGCTTATAATAGCAATCACTTGAGATTCTGTTGACCAGAGCATCTGGATGTACATGTACACAAGTAACAATTCACTGTCAACCTTTAGTACACAAGTAACAATACACTGTCAACCTTTAGTACAAAAGTAACAATTCACTGTCAACCTTTAGTACAAAAGTAACAATTCACTGTCAACTGTTAGTACAAAAGTAACAATTCACTGTCAACCTTTAGTACAAAAGTAACAATACACTGTCAACCTTTAGTACACAAGTAACAATACACTGTCAACATTTAGTACAAAAGTAACAATTCACTGTCAACCTTTAATACAAAAGTAACAATTCACTGTCAACCTTTAGTACAAAAGTAACAATTCACTGTCAACCTTTAGTACAAAAGTAACAATTCACTGTCAACCTTTAGTACAAAAGTAACAATACACTGTCAACTGTTAGTACAAAAGTAACAATTCACTGTCAACCTTTAGTACAAAAGTAACAATTCACTGTCAACTGTTAGTACAAAAGTAACAATTCACTGTCAACCTTTAGTACAAAAGTAACAATTCACTGTCAACCTTTAGTACAAAAGTAACAATACACTGTCAACTGTTAGTACAAAAGTAACAACACCCTGAAGGTGGGGGCACAGAGGGAAGGCTTTAGAAAATTCAGAGCTCGTCTAGCTCCCAACAAGCCCCGCTTGGTCTCCGGTGTATACATGTCAGAGATTAAATCTGATTTTCTGAACCATGTATTTTGTCAGATTGGATATACCCTCTATGATCTGTGGAACGACACATGCACCGATATTCAAGACGTCCCAGTTCGAAAGTGCAGATGCAAATATGAGTCGGGGGACATCATACGTATCAAGTGTAACATACATGCGGACAAAAATATCATCAATAAACCATTTCGGTTGACATTCGAAACAAATGATTTTTCCTCGAGCTTACATAAGGATGGGACCAAGGTGTACCGTAAGTAGACATATTTACTTTTTTTAATTCTTTTATTAAACGCACATATTAATATCGCTCGGTTCTAAATACATTTTAATCTCTTTAAATAACAGTACTATACCAATAGTCTAATCAGGAATATTGGATCAGCTCGCTAATGTAAGGCAGTAACGTGAAGTCCACATTGGTCAGCCATGAGCGGAAACACACAATCGTATTCCTAAGATTTCTAGTGCGCTTTTTTTTCCGTACTCGATGGCAGGGCACAGAGATTTCGGAAAGTGTTTAAAATTGTCTTCAAGTTCAAAACTCTTATTAAAGGACTCTTTTTCTTTACTGGCTGGTTTTAAAGAGGATGAAGGAAGGCCGTGTTAAGAAATGCATGCTTTAAAGAAAAATTGCCTGGGGATGCAAGACATATTGGATGGTCGTAGGAGCGCTCAATGAATTATGTCAAAGAAATATGAAGGAAGTTAAATCGAAATCGGCGAATGGGAGATTATCATTGATCAACGCTCCTGCTTACTTTCCCCAAACTGTTGGAATTCAAGTGCAGCCCAGACTGCCATTCCAGGATCAGCTTCATTGGTTATTCAAAGATTTTGGAGAAAGACGACAGAATGTCATATAAAAGGTATTCCCCTTTGCGACTAAGCTTCCCCCATTCCTTCAGAATTTCAATTTTTAAAAAAAAACGCAACACATTTGAGACAACATACATGTTGTAATTTTTTTAAATAAAAAAAAACAACAACAAAATTTCTGACATTTTATGTAATATGCTTTTTTTAAAAATCACCTTAAGAAGAGCGCTGAAGATATGATTATCACCCACTTGATAATAATCCTACAATAACACCCCCCTCGTGTTAAAGGACATCCCTTAAAACTTATGACGGAATCCCAACTACAACTGGTGTTGTACTTACGAATCTGCAACATGATCAGCAAGTCCCTGGTAGGTTATGAAAGAGGTACGGAGTTAAGACCGATTGTAAATCAAAATTGTCGGTTGCACATTTATCCGCCAGCAGTTCACGTGAAGCTTGACAGGCAGCATCAAAATCTCTCGCACATTGTCTCATTTTTGGAATGCTTCTTTCAAAATAATTCCTGGATAGTTGGATATTTTTGAATTTGAAAGCCTCCTGGACGAGTGGATATAATTTATTAGAAACTAACAAAGAATTGGTGGATTCATTCTGTGTTTTCCATCCTGGTTTCCTTTTTGGATCTATCCGTACCTGGGTTGATTCAGTGTTAGGTAATTGAACTTTCCACTTATAACGAACTCGACCTTGTTGGAGTGTGTCATTCCTCGACAAGACTATGTGGAACGCTGTGTAGCAATTTTTAAGGTCACAATAGTGTCTGTCTGTTTCAAGTTGTTTGATAGTCCGACAATTAACTTGAAAGAAATGTCCTCCCCCCCCCTTTTTTACCACTCATTTACTGAGCTGTCCTCCCGTTAGCTATGTCATTAGTAGCGAATGCCGAACACTTTGTCTAATGAAAAGGAAATCTGCAAGAGGTTGTCGTGAAGGAAGAAAGAAAGATGGGCTTTCGTCACTCAGCTTCCAAAAAGATATTGCGTCACAATACTGGCAATGTTACCACTGGGCTCATTAAGGCGCAGTCATCTGTAAGGAAAGCAGTGGTCATCAATGACCTTTCACCGAGAAGTCGCTTGACATTATGATCATCAAGGAGACATGGCATCTTGAAGGTGGCGATGAGCCAGCAATTAAAGACATGACCCCTGCCAGCTATGTTTTTTTTTTCTTCCACACCGCCTTCGGTCATCTGGTCAGAGTAGTATGGGTTTGGCTGTGATCCATCGACCCTCCATTACTGTAAAACTGTGTAATGTGATTACGTTCACTTCTTCTGAGAGTTAAAACTCTGTGATTTCTCACGGCAAACATACTTACGAATTATCACTCAGTGCAGACCTCCGTCTTCTGCTGCTCATAAGCTCAAAGTGATGAAAGTACACCATGCGCCAAACAGGCAGCAGTGAAATTTATCTCACTTTTTCAAATGTTTTCTTCAAATTATAGTCCTTGGATAGGTGGATATTTTTAGAACTCAAAGTTTCTTGGACTGTTTAGAGTTTAGATGCTGAACTTTTTCACTCATAACAAACTCAATCGTGTTGCAGTGCGTAATTTCTTTTCAGGACATTTTAGGACATCGGAGTGCCGTAAGCATGCTAAAATAGCATGTAAATGAGTGCTATATAAGTACTCAAATCAACCAGTTCGACAAAATACATTTAAAATATTGAACAGATGTGGAAAAAAATTCAAGAGTAAAAAAAATGTCACATTTTAGGCAACGCCCTCTCACGTCCAATAATATTGGATGGTGAAATAAACAACATAATCTCCAAGCCGAATGTTGTGTTTGGAATATATCACAGAAATCTCTGGGAGGAACGGTCTCATAGCTTCCACTCAGCTGAAAGTATATCACGAAATCGTACCAACACGACTATGCGCCCGTGAGACATGTACAGTGTAAAGCAGACGTGTTCAGTAACTAAACCATTTACACGTACGCTAAGTAAGCAAAAGTCTTGGCATATGGCTGCAGGACGAAAATACTTGATAGCCATGTCCTCAAAGGATGGCTATAGCAGCATCCACATGGTTTTACATTTACATGAAGGACTTTCCTGTAACCGCATCGATTCTAGAAAGTGGATCTCTTCATTTTAACATTTTTACTAAAAGACTCTCTTCTTTTTAAGGAAATAAATCTTGCAAAGCTTGAGCGTCAAGAAACCGAGGTAACTACATTTATGTAAATACCCCACGTCTGATCTTTATTCTTTTCATCGTTTATTATTCCCTTACTTTTATTTATATCAAAAGAGTATTTTAAAATTATTATTTATGATTATTATTTAGGCATTTTTGTATAGCGCTTACCTTACAGCTCTAAGCGCTTTACAATTATAAAATATGGAAACTATTTAAACTGCTAAAGTAAAATAAAAATGAAAAACCAGAGACACTAGAATAGTAGCTACAATGTGAAAAATGGCTATAAAAACAGTAGCTAAAACATTAAAATGGCCCTAAAAACAAGTACATTTGGCACGTTTTGGCACATACCGGTACTTAAATACAGGATGAACCCGAGACAGAAAATGAGGCAGGGAAAGGAGGTTGCATCACAGGTCATAGGCGGACCTAAAAAGATGGGTTTCAAGGGACTTTTTGAAAGTGGACGAGGTTTCAAAAATGACGGATGTGGAAGGGGAGTTGGCTCTATCTGCCCGCCCCCCCCACCCCCCTGTCCACAGCTCCTGGGGCAAATTCAATGGTGGATTTCATCATTTCAGGAAGTAAATTATTGAAATTTGACCACAACAATATAAGAAGTCTCTTAAATATTTTATTGATTTCTTAACAGGAAAGAGTCCCCATGGCGGCAACAACGGAAGGTCTGGTAGGTATTTTTTTTATTATGTTCATCAGCACAATGGTATTAACAGCGCCCTCCCGACGGTTGCTAGCACCCCTTGCTTGCTTAACGTTGGCGCCCCTTATAATAAGTTTAATCATTTAAGGAAAAAACTTAGTTATTCGGTAATGAGTTTATTACTTACGTTATTGTTTATTACTTGTGTTATTGTTTATTACTTATGTTATTGTTTATTACTTATGTTATTGTTTATTACTTATGTTATTGTTTATTACTTATGTTATTGTTTATTACTTGTGTTATTGTTTATTACTTGTGTTATTGTTTACTACTTGTGTTATTGTTTTTTACTTATGTTATTGTTTATTACTTGTGTTATTGTTTATTACTTATGTTATTGTTTATTACTTATGTTATTGTTTATTACTTATGTTATTGTTTATTACTTGTGTTATTGTTTATTACTTGTGTTATTGTTTATTACTTGTGTTATTGTTTATTACTTGTGTTATTGTTTATTACTTGTGTTATTGTTTATTACTTGTGTTATTGTTTATTACTTGTGTTATTGTTTATTACTTGTGTTATTGTTTATTACTTGTGTTATTGTTTATTACTTGTGTTATTTTTTATTACTTGTGTTATTGTTTATTACTTATGTTATTGTTTATTACTTATGTTATTGTTTATTACTTGTGTTATTGTTTATTACTTATGTTATTGTTTATTACTTATGTTATTGTTTATTACTTATGTTATTGTTTATTACTTATGTTATTGTTTATTACTTATGTTATTGTTTATTACTTGTGTTATTGTTTATTACTTATGTTATTGTTTATTACTTATGTTATTGTTTATTACTTGTGTTATTGTTTATTACTTATGTTATTGTTTATTACTTGTGTTATTGTTTATTACTTGTGTTATTGTTTATTACTTATGTTATTGTTTATTACTTGTGTTATTGTTTATTACTTGTGTTATTGTTTATTACTTATGTTATTGTTTATTACTTATGTTATTGTTTATTACTTATGTTATTGTTTATTACTTATGTTATTGTTTATTGCTTGTTTAAAAAAAACAAAAACACCATAGGCAATAAACTCATTACCGAATAAATACTTTTTTTTTCCTTTAATGATTATACTTATAAGGGGCGCCTAAATTAAGGCTTAGGTAAACTTTCGCCCCTGTGCGAAGCACCCGTTCGGCGCCCTCTTCCCTGTCTCTGTATCCAAATTAAGAATGCAGCTTTCATAGTATGAAAACTCTTTGTATGAAAACTCATTGTATGAAAACTCATTGTATGAAAACTCATTGTATGAAAACTCATTGTATGAAAACTCATTGTATGAAAGCTCATTGTATGAAAACTCATTGTATGAAAACTCATTGTATGAAAACTCATTGTATGAAAACTCATTGTATGAAAACTCATACATACTTTTGAGTAACATACTTTTGAGTAACATACTTTTGAGTAACTATGAAAACTCATTGTATGAAAACTCATTGTATGAAAACTCATTGTATGAAAACTCATTGTATGAAAACTCATTGTATGAAAAGTGATTGTATGAAAAGTGATTGTATGAAAAGTGATTGTATGAAAAGTGATTGTATGAAAAGTGATTGTATGAAAAGCGATTGTATGAATAGCGATTGTATGAAAAGTGATTGTATGAAAAGTGATTGTATGAAAAGTGATTGTATGAAAAGTGATTGTACGAAAAGTGATTGTACGAAAAGTGATTGTATGAAAAGTGATTGTATGAAAAGTGATTGTATGAAAAGTGATTGTATGAAAAGTGATTGTATGAAAAGCGATTGTACGAAAAGTTACAATAACTCTTGTCGACCCCGGACCCAAGGTTTTACACTTCACTATAATAAACTGAGGGAATTTTAATATTTACTGGGCGCCCTAGGCGCCCATGTGCAAGGGCACCGGTTTGCACACCCTAAACGCCGGCTCTGGTATTAAGAGACGTTTACTAAGAGATCTAATAAAGAGCTTGATTTATTTTACCCTGTCGCTGAAACTTACAAACGAATTGAGTGATTATTTCTACATTTGTGGCATGTTTATTCATATAGTATTTCAAAATAACATTATGCCGTCCATGGGATATCAGCAGTGAGCTGGAGGAGTCAGTGGTCACATAAATTTTAGTTGTAGTTTGGTGCAGAGTCTTTGCAAATGAATGAGAATGTCGTTCCTGTTAAAGTTCGTGGTCGCTTCGTATACATAAATATTTATTTTAGGAAAGGGGGAACTTGGTTGCTTCGTATAAATACATATTTATTTTGGGAAGTTGGAACTTGGTTGCTTCGTATAAATACATATTTATTATTGGGAAGGTGGAGCTTGGTTGCTTCGTATAAATACATATTTATTTTGGTAAGGGGGAACTTGGTTGCGGTTCCTTACTTCCTAAGGTTTCTTCCAGGAGTCGACCACCTTGTTTATGAGTTATTTACATGGCGTCCATCCAGTTCCACTATACCCTTAATAATTAACATGCTCACACATTTATCAATGAAACTTTAACAGTCATCTAATGACATTTCTTAACAGGTCTCATCTTTCTGGTCACGGCTTTGGTCTGCATTGCTGCATCAATGTTTTCAAATGGTCAATGAACCTGTTTATGGTACAGCCGGATGCTGGGGGCAGTATGGATCAACGGAACAATAACATCTCATTGTAACGTACAATTCATCAGGTTAAGCAATAAAACAACTTAAAATAATTTAACTCAAAATATTAATTAGGGAAAATCACCATCTGGAAGCTTGTGTAGCATAACAAAGTATAATTCGGAAAACCACTATCTGTACGCATATGAAGTATAACCAAAAAAAAAACCAACAAAAACATCGAACACTAACTCTGGTTGAGATTAAACAAGATATTAAACGTGATCGAAAGAAACATCTTAGATAACGAAAACAATTTTTAACAAATGTTTAGAATTCAATAAAATATTTTTATGATCATTTTATGTATCACTGATATACCTCTAATAAATTTCACAAGACTAATAAACATTACATTGCAAAATGTTTTGAGCTTGAGTTTAATTTTTTTTTATTTTTCAATTTATATAGATATCACTTAATTATTTTTCTTTGTTAAAAAACATTTATGTTTTTTTTATTTTTATTTGTGGCTTATTTTGCGTTTGTTTTGGACGTAGTGAGAGAGTGAAATTGGAATTTGTTGAACACATTCAGAGCAATCTGTGATCTTTTCTCAATCCATATGTTCACACTTTTGTAATCTTGCTTAAAAGCCATGGCCATCTATTTAGTACCCTACGTCTATCTGTGATCAATTCTCCATCCATACTTTAACACACGTGTAATCTTGCCTAAAGACGTGAAAATCTATCTAGCACCCTACTGCACCCTGTCATGGTATACCAAAATATAAACTCAGGTCTATGTAACAATGAAATAGTGAAATAGTGAAACGAGGTATGTGGAAGCTTGAAATAAGCTTCCTGCTTTCCCACTTCCGGAGAGACGAATGAATACTGCTTGAGTTGTCTACTGTGTTCTTTTCTTTGTTATATTTTCATTTCTATTGTTGGCTGAGGAAGGCTTTATGCTGAAACGTCCTTGTTTTTTTGTCCTGTTACCTTATTTCAAGCTTCCACATACCTCGTTTCACTATTTCATTCATTTACATAGCTTGAAAGCAGTCCCTTCATTTATTTCTATGTAACAACTAGCATTTATTCACCATTCATAACTCTTTTTTTCTTATCCCACATCAAGTGATCAGTCACCCCAGTTCTCCAACCACTTTTTACACATTTAAAGTTAAAAAATTCATGAAAACAACTCAACATGTCCAGTCATACAACATAAGCCAGGACAATCTCGTCACAATGTTCAATCAATACACAATGATCGTCATTCATACATACTGTCACACACACACCTCTTAATAAGACAATCAATATTTAATCAAAAAAAAGATATGTATGCACACTTATATAAGTAATTATAGTGCAAAAGTATCCAACATCTTTGTATGCACAAATAGTTCAATTATTAATTGGCGTTATACATGAATGAATATTTTAAATGTCTCTATAAGGGAAGCGTATTGGTGGTTTCACTTGCCTGTCATATCTTGTAACAACTTGTGCTGGGAAACGATTGATGACACTTGGTCGAGACACGTTCACTATTGTCTCTTTGTCAACCTATGGGCTAGCAGCTTGTCGTTCATGTGTTATATCGAGGATGCCCAGTTAGAACACACCGGGACCACAGCTTTGCCCGCCAAATGCATCGTATACTATTTTGCAATTTCTTTGATATGTTATCCTATATGGTGTATTGATAATGTAGTATTACCTTAGCGTTGAGGCTTCTGAGATATGTCATCCCATCTGGTATTTGGATAATGTGCGACCTTGGTGGTGAGGCTTCTGAGATATGTCATTCCATCTGGTGTTTGGATAATGTACGACCTTGGTGTTGAGGCTTCTGAGATATGTCATCCCATCTGGTGTTTGGATAATGTACGACCTTGGTGTTGAGGCTTCTGAGATATGTCATCCCATCTTGTGTTTGGATATTGCACGACTTTGGTGTGGAGGCTTCTAAGACAAATAATGCTGACTTCCACGAGCTTCTAGGCCTGTTATACATATGGACACTGCTCCCGAGCTTAATATGTGGAAGGACCGCGAGTTAAGCTGTTTTAATGTAATATCTTCCTTGAACGTAGTGTCTTCTGTTCCAGATGTTGGCCATATCTTAAGGGTCTGGAACTTTGAGGTAGGCATCCGTAGCTGGAAGAGTTGATCTCAGGTGTCTGCCCATGAGCAGCCGTGCAAGTGAAAGGTCCATCAGCCATGGGGTATTTCTAAACTGCAACAGGGCCATATATCGATCTTGATCCAAAACTTGAGATTTCTTTAAACGTGTCTTTACTGTCTGTAATGTTCTTTCAGCCATGCCATTCGAGAGTGGGTATCTGGGACTTAAAGTGATGTGACTCAATCTCCATTGTTTTGAGAAGTTCAGAAACTCGTCACAGGAAAAATGGGGTCCATTGTCACTAATTACTTCTCTTGGGATGCCATGGCGAGCACATTGAGACTTCAGATTAATAATACCATCCGAAGGTTTGAGTGACGGAATGAGACTAAATTCAAAGAATCTACTGTAGTAATCAACACGAAATAAATAGCTCCTTCCACTATAATGGAAAATATCAGCTCCGATATTTTCCGAAGGAAGTGTTTAAAATTTCGTTGGCTATCAGAGGATCTTTTTGCTGGGACCTTTGATACCCATTTCATACCGAGGAGCCAGATACAATATCTATGATCTGTGGTGTCATTTCCGGCCACAAAAGTACTTCTTTGCATTCTCTGCAAGAGACCACAGACTTGAAAAAATATGAACTCAAAGAATGCACATTTAAGAATCCAAGTATTTGCTACACCCCTCCCCCCCCCCCACGATACGTCACTCTATACTTTTTATTTCACGCCCATGAACTATATTAAATATTCTGATGTCCCTACCACGTTTAAACCGAATATTTTTACACCATGGTTAAATTGAGTCGATTTCATTTTCCGAAAAGAAAATATAACGCACAAAAGGTAGTTGCGGTAGTAAAAAAGAAAAAGAGTCATCTAGCGTAATTATCCGGAATTATATTTTGCACGCTATTGAACTCATTATTGAAAAATACTTTCTTTCAAACAAATAGTATTCTTTGTAACTAGATGGGCCAGCCAAACATTGGCGATAGCAATGCGTGAACTTCCCATCAACTAAAGTTACTTGACAAAAACGTGAACTCAAGTTACGCATATTTAAGAATGCCAATTTTGCTACAGCCCTCCCCCCTCCCCTCCCCCCCCCTTTTTGTATGATACGTCACTGCACACTTTTTATTTCACGCTCATGAACTATATTAATATTCTCAAATCCCAACCACTTTCAATCCGAATAATTTTACACACTACTTAAATTGAGACGATTTCATTTCCGAAAAGAAAATATTTCGCACAAAACGCAATTGCATTATTAAATAAATATATATATCATTTAGCGTAGCTATCGGGAATTATATGTTGCGCGCCAGTGAACTCATTATTTAACCAAACTCTGGCATATCTATATATAGCCTGCGTGGTGGTGTTTGACCTTTGCTGGCGAATTATAAATATAGATATCATCTCAATCCCAAATGCGCTGAATAGGAGGCAGCCAGCGTGTTTTATGAAGCAGCCTGAAATAGAAGGAGTCACACCAGAAGCGTAATATATATCTTATATATATAGGAGATAATGAGTCTTGTTTTTAAAGCTCCCCCTTGTGTTTCTTTTCAAGCTTTTATAATCTTTAAGTATTGGCCTGCTATTTACTTTAAAATATAAAAAAAAACAACAATTGCGCACCTTTATTTAATCTTAAAACATTGTAAACTATGCGCACCGTTCATTGCACGCTTTTCAAAGTGACAGGTTGCCATTTGCAAATTGTAATTTTTTAATTAAAATTGTAAGGCGAAGAAATGGAATGTACATGCCCTAAGACTTAGCAGATTGTTTTAAATCTTTATACATGGTTGTAAAATCGAACACTCAATCAACCCAATTAATGCAACAGCTAAACGATTAAGAGCATCGTATGGGGAGCTTGAATATTTGATTCAAGCTGCTCACTCAATTTTAAGTGCAGGAAACTGCTTTTCCAAAAATCTGGCCGAATCAACCGGATGTTATCTACACTTGGGGATCAGAAGAAAACAAACCTCAAGCAAATTTGAAAATATTTAAAATTGGCTTAAAATTCAAAGTTTTATTGTTTTTTTTTCTTTAAAATCTTTGTAAATAAGTCAGAGTCGTATCTGATAATTTTTGGGCCAGGACCAAATCCCAATTTCAACCCCCACACTTTTCAAATAAAATGTATTTTAAAGTAAAATGTATTTAAAAATTCTGACCTGCTTCGTCGTCTTCCCCCCTCCCCTTCCCCCCATGCCGGTAGGGCCATGTGTGATTTCCACGGTTGCCTGAAGTAAGTACAGCGTCCGACCACAACCCTACCTTATAACCGTAGTAAAACATTTTAAGTTATCTCTTTTTTTTTCCTCATTTATTTTTTGCAGAGGTCTCCTTGAGTATTACATTTCACACATAATGCCTTTTTTTTTTTTACACGTTTACTTATCAAATCGTTGACCAGGTCTAGTAGATTGGTGTTTTTCAGCTGATCTGAGGTAGACTGGATTATCCACCGGTAATTTTCCAATAAAACGTTTCTAGGACGACTTTCATGAGATTGTTGCGTAAGTTTAAAGATCTGCTACCGATCTTTCATGCCGTCATTCTAATCTTAATTAATTCGTTTTAAATATTTCTAAAATAAATTAAAAAAAAAAAAAACACTTTCTAACTTAATTGAAACCTATTAAAAAATAAAATTCTAATCTTAATTAATTCGTTTTAAATATTTCTAAAATAAATTAAAAAAAAAAAAAAACACTTTCTGACTTAATTGAAACCTATTAAAAAATAATTACAACGAAACGGAAGTCATATAACAACCTACGAAAAATTACTATTTAATTGTTATTATATTCCAAATTATAAGATGAATTTATGCTGTACATTTGTATACAAATATATTTATAATGTTCTAACTCATTTTATGTGTTTTCAAATATAAATACGTGGCAGTTGAGACCTGCTGTCCCAGTCTGTTCGCTGTGGAAATGCAGAGATTACCCGGCCTGCTTTCGGGGACCGCTATGATAATTTTCATCGTAAAACCTGGTAAGATTAATTGAATTCAAATCCATTTAAACTGAGACTTTGTATCAGATTACCGCTAAAATGATCAGACTTAATATTTAATCGGATATTTCCCCCAATAACAGCGCACCTTTGTGCTGTGCCAACCTTAGGACACAAAACCTGTATAATCTTTCTGTGAAGGATTTTAAAAGTTATTCATGACGTCATTTTCCGTCAAGAGCTTTCTGACGCGAAACAGAGTTTTTTGGTTAAGTCCCATTGTTACTTTTAAATGTTTACCTGCAAAAACGAATTGAATAATTTCCATTGAACACACTTATATCCATTACGAAATATTCAATTAACCTTCTCGGCAGTTAAATCCCTATTAAGACTCGTGTTTCATTTTATAACAAATGTAATGGGTCTTCTTATTGAATAAATTCTCCAAAAGTAAATGAATTTCTAGTCAAGCGTACTTGTTGAAGATGCCATGCGTCTTTTTCAAATGGCAGCAAGTTTTATATAACGGACATTGCATTTGGGAAAAAAGAAAACTGTGTCTGAAACAAAAATTATTATTATTATTTTTTTTTTTTTTACAGGATATGCCAGAACATGGTTCCCATTCTCTAAACAAGCTTTCTTGGATCCTATTGAATACAGCCTGGGGAAAAAAAGCTGTAGCGACGGCTACGTCCATGGCATTGACCATTTTATTCTTACTGGTTTCCTCAACGTGACCGGGTTTATTCTTCCGAAAGTCCCTGCTTATTTCAGCGTTTGGTTCTTCTATCGCGGGGGCTGGATTCCGGTAGGCAAAGTTGTAAGCTTTCTCATTTATTTGACAATATTCCTTAATATGTCACTACATTTATAGAAATCTGCTGGAGTTTTAAAAATAAATGACCCCGTGGTTTGAGTTCCGTTTGTCGCTGGTTGTCATTCTATTTTGGGCAAGGCACAACAAACGGGGCACGGGCTGGTTCGTATCCTCCATCCATATTCATCCTTTGTTGGTCCACACAGTTGCCGGAAAACTTTTCTCTCCAGTGCGTTTAATTGGGGTTTTTCCGTTTTTTGGGGGGGGGGGGGTCCAAGTTTTAACTGCGTACGTTACACCTGGTCTCAGTACAGTTTTAGAAATTTTTGTTGTTTTTTTTTGGTTTAGTTTTCTTCTTTTTTTTTAACTTATGAGTATTTTCTTATTACTGAACTATGCCATTTATTTGGGGTTTTTCCGTTTTTTGGGGGGGGGGGGGTCCAAGTTTTAACTGCGTACGTTACACCTGGTCTCAGTACAGTTTTAGAAATTTTTGTTGTTTTTTTTTGGTTTAGTTTTCTTCTTATGTTTTAACTTATGAGTATTTTCTGACTACTGAACTATGCCATGTTGCCGGCTGATATTCTTTATTTACTTCTGTTAGTAATGTCTTTCTTTTATGTTATACTTTACATTTTTCAAAAAGTTTCATTTCTAATTTCAAATTTTTCATCGGTCTATTCTTCTCTTATCATTCAAAGTTTTAAAAATAATAGTGTATAAATTGATAAATTAGCACTGTTAACACATGATAATGTTAAATGATGATTGGTTGTTAAAAAAAACAAAAAACAACGAATTAATGTCAGTGCATGACAGAGCCCCGGTAGAAGGGCGCCAACGTTGGTTCCATTTTCAGGAGTTGCCATAGAAGGGCACCAACGTTGGTTCCATTTTCAGGAGTTGCCATAGAAGGGCGCCAACGTTGGTTCCATTTTCAGGAGTTGCCATAGAAGGGCGCCAACGTTGGTTCCATTTTCAGGAGTTGCCATTAAATATATTTTATTTTAGGTTCGACATCTTGAACGTGGTCAACAGTTAGTACAATTTTAACAATACACTTTCAACAGTACAGTCAGTACAATGTGACAATACACTGTCAACAGTTAGTACAAAAGTAAGAACACAATGAATGCAAGAGAGCATTGGACTTATGTCAAATAGATCGATTTGGAAGCTGTATTTCAATAGCCTAACAACTCATTAGCAATCTGTACAAACAGACAAGCAATGTGTATATTCATTTTGTCATATTATTATAAATACATTCTACAGAAGTTTAAAAACACACAACTAATAATTCAACTAAATAATTGAGATTGTGAGTATTTATACTATGATCAAATTCTTTTAGCATTACCCTTACAGACGGGGTGAACATTTGAGGGGTCGGGGGGGGGGGAAATAAAGCATTCTTTTTTCCGTCGGGGTCGAAAAAAAAGGAAGAGAGAGAGAGAGAGAGGGGGAGAGAGAGGGAGGGAGAGAGAGAGGGAGAGAGAGAGGGAGAGGGAGAGAGAGAGGGGGGAGAGAGAGAGGGAGAGAGGGAGAGAGAGTGGGAGAGAGAGAGAGAGAGAGGGAGAGAGAGGGAGAGAGAGACGTGCGCGAAGCTTAAGAGGTCATACAGGGCACCCACATGGCTTATAGTTTTGGCTCTGAACTGTATGATATCCGAAATTGACCATGTGTTTTTAAACCATGCATTTTCTTGATTCAGATTTGGTCTACCTACTTTGATCTGTGGGAGGAAACATGCCATTATATTATATACGTCCCGTTAGATAAATGCAAATGTGAATATAAGTGGACCAAAACCATACTACTAAAGTGCAATTTGACGGCTGACATTAAATACAGGAATAAGCCGTTTCGACTGAATTTCATCACCAGTGATTATTCTTTAAGTGCGCCTAGGAATATGACCAAGGTGTACCGTGAGTAAACATATTTCTGATCCGTTATGAAAAGGTTTTCAAAACGCATGTATTAATGTCGCTCATCGATCGAAATGTTTGATCGGGCAAGTTTGATCCGTGAGCCAATCTGGCAGGAAAAGTGAAAACCACATGCGCCAGGCATGAGTGGAATCGCAACGTCTAGTAGCTATGAAAAAGGCAGAGTATGCAAGGAACGAAGGCGTTGCAGATAAAGCCCCACAAACTGGCTTGGCCTTAGCACTATCCCCACGGTCTCAACTAAAGGACGTTTCCTTTTGATCATATCCGTTCCAGAACCTGACTCTTTTCGTTTTAAAATGTTTAGTAAAACGATGTCTTTCTTGTTTAGGGGATGTCTCGTGTGGCAAGAGGGCGACAACAAGCGGAGGTAATTTAGAGTTATTCAAATAAACCACTTCAGATCGTTATTAATTTTTACCCTTTATAATTCCTTTACTTTCTTTAAATTGAAACGATATTTAAAATTGTATCACCTGACCTAAGCATATGTTTTTAGTGGCTAACATCATTATAGGAAGTAAATGATTGTTATTGTTTTTGGACCCCACAAGTGGACAAGTTGATAACATTTTATTGATTTCTTAACAGGAACGAGTCCTCATGGCGGTAACAACGAAATGCTTGGTAGGTATTTTACATTAGGTTGGTAAGCAGATTGGAGTAAAGCGACTTTCCCTTAGAGATCTAACATCTAACTGTGCTCATTTAACTGAATGGCTGAGACATACAAACGAATTGAGTTAATATTTATAAATTTGATGACAAGTTTGATTTTTTTTTTTTAAACTTTGCCTAGGGCCGAGAAGTTGCCCTCTGTGGTGGTAGAGCAAGGAGCTAAAAGACAATCTCTGAAAACATGCTCATTTACTGCAACGTGCACTAGAGATTTTTAGATAAAATGTCATACAAAGCAGCATTAGGGTTTAATTTTAGTAATGTTACCCTGCCGTCACATTGTCCAGAGCGAGCTGGACGAATCAATGGTCACTCAAATGTTACAGTTATAGTTGGGGGTGGAGACTTTGTTTTAACGAATGGGAACGGCGTTCCTTCATTTTTTTTCTTTTATTTTGCAGTATAAATATTCATCCTGGGAATGGGAACTTGGTTGCGGTTCCTTACTTCATGACATTGTCACTGGAATCGTCATTTTTTCTAGTGATACATTTCCATGGCAACCACTCTGCTCATCCATTCTAGTTATAATTAAAATACTCACACATGTATACTTGATAATTTAACATTTATCAATTTTTACATTCCATTTTAAAGTCGTAACAGGTCTCATCTTTCTGGTCACGGCTTTGGTCTGCACTGTTACATCAATGGTTTCCAATGGTCAATGAACCCGGTCGATGGTACAGCCGGATGCTGGGGGCAGTTTGGATCAACAGAACAATAGCATCTCTTTGTCGCGTGCAGTTCATTCGGTTAAGCAATAAAACAACCAAAATAATATATCTCAACATTTTAATTAGGAAATCAACTACCTGGCTGAATAGTGAAGTATAACAACATACACTGAGCATTAAACCTGGGTTAATATTAAACAAGAAATTAAACGCGTTTAAAAAAAAAAAAATTCATTACGAAAGCAATCTTTAAAAAAATGTTTGGAATACAAGGGAATTTTTATTTATATTTATTATGATAACAGGCACCAATGAAATACCTCTAATAAATTAATGCCGTTATGAAATTTCATAAGATTAATAACAATAGTTTTGCAAGATATTTTGAACTTAATAAAATATATTACATATATATTTTTCTTTCAATTGTTTTTATTTTTTACTCTTTAATTTTGTTTTTTCGTTTCTTTTGGAGTTTTTGTTGTTTATTTTTTTAAATTTATTTATTATTATTTTTTTTTTTTGGTTGCGACGAGATGCAAGAGTTGCATTTGAATTTTTTTTTTTAATCTACTTTTATATTTTGTGAAGTGGTAAGCCCCCCCCCTCCCCCCCCCCCCCCTTTACCGTATTGTACGCCTCCCCCCCCCCCAGGTGCTCCAACGCAAACGTTTGTCTCTATTATTGACATGGTGAGTATTATATCTATCTTTTCCAGTTTTGGTTGGCTGCCCAATGGGTCCGGTCCTCCTGATGGTAGATCGTAATCCTCATTGGTTCCTTCATGTGAGCCCTGTTGACATCTCTCTAAAATGCTCTGCTCAACTCATTGGTTCCTTCATGTGAGCGCTGTTGGCATCTCTCTAAAGTGCTCTGCTCAACTCATTGGTTCCTTCATGTGAGCCCTGTTGACATCTCTCTAAAGTGCTCTGCTCAACCATCTTATTCCACAGTGCTCTCTCTGATCAGTTTTTCCAGCTATACTTTCACAAATGTGTCTCTTTGCTTAAGGCTGTGACCATCCAATCTAGTACAATTTTTCTTTGTGTTATCAGTTCTCTATCCGTACTGTGATACATCTGTAAACTTTCTTAAAACCCTGCCCATTGAGCTAGTACCCTACTGCACTTTGTGATCAGTTCTCCATCCATAATGTGATACATCTGTAAAATTTCTTAAAACCCTGCCCGTCCAGCCAGTACCCTACCGCACTCTGTGATCAGTACTCCATCCGTACTGTGATACATCTGTAAACTTTCTTAAAACCCTGCCCGTCCAGCCAGTACCCTACTGCACTCTGTGATCAGTTCTCTGTTCATACGTTCACGAGACCTCATCATGATGTCAACAATCTCTCTCTCTCCTTTAACTTCACCTTACCAACCTCTGCAAACAAGATCTCAGGCACTCTGTGTGTGTTCCTTGAACGTAACAACATTGTAATTAAACGTGCTGAATGGGGTGGGTGCTGTTGTGGTTTGGGACAAAAACGTATACATTAAAGTAGATAATAAACAATTAGAGGTGACATGATTCTATAATTCAAGCAAGAATAACACGATTGTTCAAAATAATGAAACTGGGCAACAAACAATAAATCAACAATTCTAGAACCAGCCACTATGCAACACACTTTCAATAGTGACCTTGGAAAAACATTCTTTCTATTTGCTGCATAAGATTCACAAAGGGGGGGGGGGCGGCAAGGCAATTACATTAAGTAAACAAACAGTCTCAGGGTTTCTTTCAGGTATATTGGCCGGGGGGGGGGGGGGG